CATGTACAAATGTCCACAGATATTTTTATAAATAGTGGTCACATCTATAAAGCAATAACTGTTAACTATTACTTTTAATGATTTTTTTTCTTTTTTATGTAGTTAGTACTGGGTCTACAGGGTCTCATGACACAGATTGGACTCATAGTGATTCTGTTTTGAGCCTCCCAAGCACTGGGATTATAGGTGTGTGCCACCACATCCAGTCTCAATTACTGTCTCAGTATACCCTTGGGGAGGGGCCAGCATAGCAGGCCAGAGATCGAACCCAAGTCTTTGCATCTGCCTAAGGAGGGCTTTAATACACTGAGATATCTTGCAGACTCTACTTTTAATGATTTTTAATTCTCAAGGTTTTATATATTTGGAAATAAATATCAAATGTTAAGAATCTTCTATATGCTATTCATTGCATAAATATTCCAATAATATTGTCTTAATCTAGCCTCCCAAACCTTCACAACATTCTGTGATACTTAAAGTGTTCAATGTTTGACACAATGAACAACACAGTCAGAAAGGTAGAATCAGCCCATGAACCCATGAATGAAAAGGGTATTGGGTGACCTTTGAGTCATATTCCTGGATACCTCCAAAACAACCTGATCAGCACATGTGCATTATTTTCTCACACAATGTACTTTTCAAAACAAGATTCATGTACGGTAGGAGCAGATCAGCCCTGGCCAGTCACTGACCTAAAACCCTGCATTTTCCAGGGAGTGGTAAAGGGGCAGCAAGTGGCCTGTGACCCTTGGAAGCTTTTCCCCTGTGGCATAAGATCATCGGGACCTCTTGACATGGCATGCTTTGGTGTGAACTATCCCCACTGTTTGATAGGTGATTCATGCTTAACTTGCTGGTTCATTAAGAGCATGTGCAACATGTTTTCTCCATCAGTATCAATATTACTGTTCCAATTATGAGACTAGATCCTTGCGGGTGAAATGACAGATGAGAGAGCTAAGGAAAGCAACGTGTGTTCCTGAATACTGCACTGAGGACAATGGTGAGTGTTGTTCCAAAACTCAAAGTCAGAGCTACAATATTTTCTAAGATATATTTAAAATAACATGTTTGAAATCAAATAATTCAAACTATCACTGCCTCAATTCTGAAAAAGAATTCTCAACACGCAGCTCATGGCATTTGGCTCTTCAATGATACAGCTGAGTTCCTTTTTCCTTTGCCAAAAAAACATTTTGCTATTAACACCGTTCCTCTATGAATCATGGAGTTACAATAACACATTGTCTTTTTCAGAAATAGATATAAAGAAAAAGAAAAGAGCTTTTTGCAAGCTTTTAAAAAAAATCAATTTCTGTTTTGAAAATTGCAGAATTCAGCTTCTGAAAATGTTCAAAGTAATGTGAATACACAGAGTGGCTTTTGCTTTGATCTAGAACTTAAGATTTCAGAATAGTGTATATTTATATTTTTCAATTGGAAATTTAATCTATGTATTCTGAAGATTTGTGAAATATGACACTTAATTATTTTGTTTTCTAAAATTAGTAAAATAATTTATAGGTTTTTTTCATTTTAAACAATTTCCACTTGAATATTACTGATAATATCAATTAAGGCTTCATATTTCTGAATACTATATCTCAACATTTATTTATAGAGAAATCAAGATGTATTATTAGAGAATAAATGGAAGTTTGTAATTTGTAAGGCCTGCTTTGAGAGGGTGTCAATATACTACATCTGAAAACATATAACCACATTAAATACCCTTGCCTTTGCTAAATCACATCTACTTTGGAAAGCCTTCTTTTAGATCTTCATATAGAAAACTATCTGATGGAATCTGACCTTCTCTTTCTTCTTCTCAAACTATTGTCTTTATTATTATGCTTGGTTCTATGGCTCCATATTACATTGTCATCCAGAACTGTTGATCAGGGTCTAGGATGAAAATAATGTCATATTATAACAAAAATATTACCATTTATTTATTCTAGAATAACATAGCAAAAAAAATTGTCATACCTCCAGGATAAAAGTTGGAATGCCCTTTTCAACTTCATTACTACTTTGGTTAATTGAAATTTATTTTGATTTTTCAAAAGCAAAAGTTCACTCATTAGCCCTCCTGCCTCTCTCTACTACCAACTAGTTGGTTTGGCCACCCAGCACCAACCCTGACACCTACAGCACTAACCTGTAACCCTTCCCAGAAGGAAAATCATCTCCCTGAAATCATCTTCAAGAAAACATCATTACTTCCTTAACAATTTTCATTAGTTAATACAAAGTTTATAAATTCCTACCTCACTGTTAAGTATTATATGATTAATTCTAAAATCTTCATGTAGTTATTGTTTTATTAAATTCTGAAGTGTTTTTATATTCACTCAGGTTTAAGTTCATGTGAATCATTTGAATTTCTGTATCTCTTTTACATATATATATATATATATATATATATATATGTCAAAATGCTAATCTGAATACAGAATGTCATTCTGAAGTTTAGAAGCCTTAACTATTTTTTCTCTGCTGACAAATTGCTTTCATTGGCAAGGAGTGTGGGTAGTGCACAGTTGGGGCTGATGTTCCATTAAAGCTCAGTGGGAGAGAATGTTCTGGAAGTATCTGTCCAAGGAGAGGGTGCTGAAAAGTCAAAGGCTCCAGATAGATTTTCTTTCTTTCTTTCTTTCTTTCTTTCTTTCTTTCTTTCTTTCTTTCTTTCTTTCTTTCTTTCTTTCTTTTTCTTTTTTTCTTTTCAGAACAAGGGATTGAACATAGGCCCTTGCTCTTGCCAGGGAAGCACTTATTTCACTGAGCCATCTCTGTGGCCCCTCCAGGTAGTTTCATTAGATTTAAGACATAGGCATTATATTTAATTTTTTATAGGATATTGCTTATCTCAGCTGCAGGCACTTAGTACTTTTTTCCAAATACTAGCAGATGGTGTTGATAAAATTCCTTCTGTCTGTGAATAAACACACACACGCACATTTAAAAAAACAAAACAAAAAACTTGTGCCATACCCTAGAGGAGGATGTGGCCTTCCTTTTTTTTCTTCTTAATTAAACTATCATTGTTAGGAGGCACCAAAGAGCTCAAAAACCAAAGGTTTCTTCAAGGAGAGTCTCTATGTAGACTCCAGGGGAAGGAATGAGCAGATCATTATGGAGTTATCAGCCCCCCACAAAGTTATAAATTAAAGAATCAGTATGCTATCAAGTGGCAAAGAGCACAAAAGCAAGACAAGGACTGAGTAGTCTCCTGTCTTTGGAGCTGAAGGCAGTGACACCGTTTGCAAATGTACTCATCTTTGATTCTTTAAGGTTTAATGAAAGAATGGTTAGTGAGATGAAATTGCACCTTAGAAAATTAGATCATGTGCTGTATGAAGTCTAACTTAGAGTCTACCCTTAGCCAGTAGGTATTAGTAACACACAAGAACTACTTTTGAGGCTGCAAAGAAAAATTTGCACTTTCTACATGAATTATTGTCTCATTCAAAATGTTCTTGCTCTATATAGTTCATATTTTTAGCAATCCTCAGTGAAATTTTCTCTTAAAGTGTTGTCCCTAGCTGAACTTCCACCCAGTGGGCTGGGAGACACGTCAACGTCCTCCCTATCAAGGTGCTTAACATACTTCACAGATTCACCTGTGACAGTAATTATCACACATTATTGCAATTATTTGACTGGATTACAACCTTCCTTCTATAGTAAGGATTCCTAAAGGCAGGAATTGTTTCTTAATTACTCTTTTGATCCTCAGTAACTGAAAGAGTGCTTTCACAGGGTAGTACTTCTACGGTTGAATAAGTAAATACATCCTTAGCATTATTGCTAAGCAAATAGAGGTGAGCTTGGCAGGCTCATGTGAAGCAGGCAGTATTTACAAACACAAAGAGTGTCATGGTTTTTGAAAGATGAAATGACACACAGAAAAGAGGAAACGTCAGAGAAACTAAGACTGGCGGGTCCAGTGAAAGAGGAAAGGAAAGTACAATCCATGCTTGGCAGTAGGGCATAACCCTGAAATAAAGCAGCGACTGCAAGGAGACAATAGAAGCTTGGTCTTGAAGTTACACCCAACACAAAATACCTGATATTATTTATGGTAAGTTACTGTGTGTGACTGTACACGTTTTTGTGAGGATGGAAGAAAGGGGAACGGAGTGAAGGAAAGTAGGGTGATGGAACTGACGTAAATAATGTATTATGTACCTACTTGTGCTGAATATTAAACCCTAACACAGTGGTATTTTGGGTATTTCTGCCCATCTCTTCATCCCATTATTGATAAAGTAGTTTTCAAAATAATTCATTTCTCCCCAAGGCACTTTTGATAAGTGGCAGGATCAGTTGCACAAGGTCTTTTCAACTGCAAATACTATTATCTGAATTGAGACAGAGAAGGAGCCCCGAAACAAAGATCAGCTTTCAGGTAAAGTTCAGAATGCTGTGCTGAGACCTATTCAAATAGCTCTTTTTTTTAATCTTAAAATCTCTTTAAGTATTTTAACAAGTCTTTTAGAGTTCAATTTTGATTTTGTTTAAATGACACTCATTGGGAGAGGGAAGTCCTAGCTGTTTGGGGTCACAGCTGGAAGCCGTAGAGCTAATGACTGCTGGGCACTCACAGGGCAAGTGAGACTGCTGGAGGCAGTGAGCCTCTGTCCTCCAGCCCCCACCTCATCCTTGTCCCTGTCTGTGCAAGAAGGCTTTGCCCTCATACTAGCTCACTGTCCTTGCCATTAGGATTCCTGGAAACACCCACCGCCCTTCATCATGGTGTCTGACTGAGGAGATTCCAAGGTCCTGGGTACCTCCTGGACTTCTATTCCCAAGAACAACTGCTCATCCCAGACCCTTGCCTGCACCCCTACTTTGTCTCTTGCTCTTTCTTCCCACCATGCTCAGTAGCTCCAGCAAGGAGACATAGGTTTTGCGGCAGGGTCCCTTGATGCCTAGTACCATGGAAAAGGTCTCTAGTAATTTTGGCCTGAGGAAAGGGCCAGAAGTCACACTTGCAGGTGGCTGAATACAGTACATGAGAACACATCACAATGTTTTTATAAGCCAGGCTTTCCACTGAATGGCATTTGGCCCCGACAGTCATCATATTATTTATCACATCTTGTAAAAGCACAAAGAGGATTTTGAAAACTATTTCAGAAAGTGGAAAAAATGAAAGAAAAAGTGTATTCAAAATGAGCAGGAGTACTTTGAGGGAGAAGTATGGCAATGTGTCTTTCAATGTAATGTTATTTAAATTCAAACAATGGCCACAGTTTTCAATCAGGCATGAGTGTTGGCTAATTCACATGCAACATGTTTCCTATTATTATAATAAAGGGCTTTTAAAAAAATATGCACATTACTTTTCCTGAGATGTCAAAGGTGTTAAGAAGTTTCAACTAGACTGGCTGAAACCTGACCTCCCTACCATACCCCTGTACTTTTTTTTTTTTAAGAAAAGAAAAATAAGCAATAAAAACAATAATAAAATTTTAAGACAAGATTGTAGGAGAGTAACAATGGTTAGAACATTACATATTGTTATCTTCAAAGTAGTTGCTCATATTACAAGTTATAGGCCTCAAATCAAACAATATAGGCATACACTTTTGTTTTCAATGACTAAAAGCATAATAGTATATATAACTATCTTAACTATCCTGTGTGTGTGTGTGTGTGTGTGTTTTCTTTTTCCTTCCTTTTCTTTTCCCCATTCTAGCTTCTCTTTGCTTTTGAACATTTTCTTCCCATTTCATAATACCTATTGTCTTTTTTGGCTCTGTTTACTCTTTCAACTTCTTCACTAGGAAGATAGTACCATATTTACATATATGAGACTGGTTTCTTTCACTTATGAATATTGACTTAAGTTGTACCCCTTTCCATATAAAGGTCTCAAGTTTGTCTTTGCTTTATATAAGAATACCACATCTTAACTGACATGCTAATTGACAACTATGACATAACAACCTACCTGTGCCTTATTTCCCTGGGTAACTTACACATACACATATAGTCATGTTTTGGACAAAGGTAATAATTTAGATGTGCAGTTGGACATCATTGTGTTTACATTTGTAGAGATATTACAAAAAAATAGGTCAAATGCATTAGGAAAGAAATGAATTTGGCTAAAATTTCTGTGGGCATGACCTGTCTAAATATTTAGCTAAGGTTGAATGTGTTCTATTTGCAAGTCTTTGTACTGTAAATCTTTATTTGTAGGTTTCTATATTTTCTCCCCAAAATAGTCTCGCTGGAATATTTTTAATGTATTTAGTAGAGGGTCTACAGGGTCTCACTACACAGATAAGACTCATACTGATTCTCCTGTTTTTAGTGTCCCAAGCACTGAGATTACTACACCTAGTCTCAATCCCCATCTCAGCCATTCCAGGGGTGGGGTCAGCATGGCACGCCAGGGATTGAACCAGTCTCTGAATCTGCCAAAGCAGGCACTTTAGTCTACTGAGCTATCTGGCTGGCCCTGGAATCTTAATTAAAAACAAAAACAAAAACAAAAACAACCCTTCAGCATGATTAATGTCATAAATTCATATACTAAGTTCTTTATTAAAAATTAAAATATTCTTGGATCTATTCAATGCTTTGCAATGAAAGCAATTACTCTGATAGCCTAATTAAATTTCTAAACAAGAAGAAGTCCATATGGTTTTCTAATATGAGGATTTGTATATGTATGTAAAAGTGTGTATCTAAATGTCGATATGTGCTTCAGGCTACTACCAAAAGTAATACTGTATTGACAAGAACTTAGAATTTTCTGTACTTGATATTTGGTATGTAACATATATATGTGTCACATAAATATATAGGTAGATAGATTTCAAATTCACTAGAAGAAGCAAATAGCAAACACTTCTCAAATATACTGGCTAGTCGCAAATTTTGTAATGCATTTTCATTACAGCAAGCAAATGATCAATCTATGAAAATACAGCTTATTTTGTTTTGTTTTTTACCTCTGCAGATGGGAACAGGAAAGTCCCATGAGGCGGTATTCACGGAATTGGCTATGCAGGTGAGCTGCGGGTGGCCGTCCAGGATGTAGCCGGTCACACAGCTGTAGCGGATCTTGTCCCCAACATCAAACCGCGTGCCATACAAGACACCTTTGGGCGGAACTCCAGGGTTTCCACAAGAGCTACTCTGCAATTCTATAGAAGAGAGAAAAGGAGATGAAAAGAACATATCTGAATTTGTTAAATTAGCATAACATGCTAAATTTATAACTATATATAGATATTGATATAGATATGTGGACTTATACACTGATATAGATATATAGATGTTATGTAGACATATTTCTTTTTAAAAAGAGCCCAGAAAAATATCTACTATTTAAATACATATAACTGAATAATATAGAAATAACTGCAGTTAATACATTTATAAGACTTTTAAAATTTACATACTCAAAACTTAGTAATAAGCAATTCTATTTTCATTTATTCAATTCTCCTTTAATTGATGCTTTTACTTCACCCTGAGCCATAGGTATTTGTACAGAATAAACACATATTTGAAGGAAAATATTTTATCTTTCAATGGAAATAACACAGCTGCATGTACAAGATATACTTGTTTTGGAATTTAAAGAGATCAGACAAGAATTACTGCTTTATTATCACTTTAACCTGGAGTGCACAGGAACAGTCATAAGTACATTGAATGACATTTTAGCTAGATCACGTGTCCACCAAAGCCTTGATCAGAATATCTTACATACTGCTCTTTTACTTTATTAGTTAATTAAAAATAGACAAGCATACAAATTTTAGAGTTTGATTTTTTATTATATAAGATGATTTAACTTTAAAAATAGGAGAAACATAAAAAAACAGCAGAAGCTACAGAATAATGAAGTTAGAGATGAGTTTTTCTTCCTTACCCTGATTTTTTTTTATTATATTACCTTTCTACACAAATGATGATCAATAAAAATAATATATTAATGGGAAAAGGTAGTATTTCAATTGGAGTAAAATCGATGGCTTAGGTAATAATACTTTATAAATGTCCATTTATTTTGAGATTTATGGTATAATTTCATACGTAGTTAATATTAAGGTCACTAAATAGGAATATATGGAAACTTTATTACTTTTGTAAAATAAGAAGTTTTAAATGACATTGAGATGCAATATGAGGCCTTTTCAACTTTCCTTTGATGTTTGTTACACTTGAGTAATGAGTTGCATGTTACCTGAAATCAAATAATTGCAAGCTATAATGATATTGAAAATAGCAATGTCAATTTTTTTTCTTTTTTCTTTTTTTCGGTACCAGGGATTGAACTCAGGCCCTTGAGCTTGCCAGTCAAGAGCTTTTTCTAATGAGCTATCTCCCCGGCTCCCCCCAGTGTCAATATTAAGTAAAAATACTAAAATACAAAGCGACTCATGATATATAGGTAGACATTTGCAAAATACTATAGATAGGTAGGCATAAAAATGGTATGCACAGTTCAAATTTTTATCTCTTTATCCACAATGAATTTATAGTAATTTGGAAAACGTTTTTAAAGGTTTAGCATTAACTTTGCTTGTAACATTTCTAACTTAATGAAAGATAAGCTTTAATTATTGAATTAAGAACATGAGTTGATAATAGGATATCTGTGCAATTGTATATATATA